TTCTTGGGACGATACCACGGAAAGTAGGACTGTATGATAATTTCAGTTATTTTTTATTTTATTTTTTAATATTGTTATTTTAATTTCGATAATGACATTGTAAATAACTGAAAACTATGTAATTCAAAGTTTATATTTTTTTATATATTATCTTGCTAGCTCGTAAATATCGTTAAAAACTTGGAACAGTTATATTGTATAATTCGGAATGATAATACAATCATCGAAATATAATGATATATAACTTTCTGTAACTTTCAAATTAATAGTCCGTATAATACGCATGCCACCTAGTGTCAGTTAATTATACCATGCGTATAATCTTCGCACAAGTGCAACCAATAAGTTAAAAAAGTTTTACCGCAATCTGATGAACGGCATGGCATCGTAGAAAGTACGAGCAAACATAAATTTTTATATAGTAGAAAATATTTTACAGTCTATAGACAGACCTATAGTTGATTAGAATAGGCGTTATTATAGCAGCTGATTTGTTTTTTATAATACTAGAACTAAATGAACGGTTGACAATAAATTATTTTTGGAAATTATGTTTTTATTTTTATTTTGTGTAGTTAGTTTAATCTTAATAATTTTTTAGTTGAATGGTCTAAGGGCTACAATGGTTATCCGAGTACAGAACCAGAGTACAAAACTAATCCAACTGTAGAGATGTGAGAGACAGGGTGACGTAATATCCCCGAAATACTTTACCGATGCATTGGAAGAAATTTTCAAGCTACTGGACTGGAAAGGATATGGTATTAACGTCAATAGTGTGTACGTCACTCACCTTCGATTTGCCGACAATATAGTCCTTATGGCATAATCGCTGGAGGACCCACGCACTATGTTCAATGACCTCAATAGTGTCTCCCAACGGATGGGTCTTAAGATGAACATGGACAAAACAAAAGTCATGTGTAATGTCCATGTCTCACCTATGCTGGTGGTTTTTGGGAGCACTTAGCTGAAGTTGTTGACGAGTATTTTTACTTGGGAGTCCAACTAGGTAAGTTCAACTTCGACCGACGGGTCAATCGACGGATTCAACTAGGCTGGGCAGCGTTCGGAAGATTACAACACATCTTCTCGTCAGGAATACCTCAAAACTAGATTGTACAACCAGTGCGTGTTGCCAGTTTTGACCTATGGATCTGAGACGAGGTCTTTCACTGCTGGGGAAGCTCGAAGTTTAAACTTAGGAATGAGTATATCTGCAGCAGAACTAGAGTGACCGACATCGCCCGATGGATTAGTAAGCTGAAGTGGTAATTGACCGGCCATATAGCTCGAAGAACCGAATACCGATGGGGAAAAAAGGTTATCGAGTGGCAGCCTCGTACCAGCAGGTGAAGTGTACTACGTTCCCCCACTAGATGGAGTCAAAACCCGGTGAGACATGCAGGAAGTTGATGGATGCAGGTGGCTCAGGACCGTGCTTTGTGGCATTTCTTGGGGGAGGCCTATGTTCAACAGTGGACTTGTGAAGGGTTTTAATGATGATTAATGATTATTGCATTATATTAATATGATATATAAATAGAATGAACGTTACGGGTGGAGTCCATCTATCCATAGAGTCCATTCTATTTATTTAGGTACGGTAGGGTATAGAATTTTCATCGATATAATTTGGTACACTGTCTTATCCCTATTATTAGTTCCGTGGACGTGCACTTTTGCTGTCAGCGCCAAAATGGCGGAAATCAAATCGCTTCATCATGTCACGTCTATAGCCAGTCCAGCGTACTTGTATATATAGAGGTCAGTGTCCATAACCCTTTTATAATGAGATATGCCATGTATAGCCTGTTGCTTTTACAGCCTCTTAAAAAACAAATATAAGCTTGTAATACCGGTCACTAAACTCCACAGAATTAGTAATTCATTTATGGGGCAATGCATACGCTTTTACAACGAAATCCCAGAAAATGTACAAACTTTGTCATTAAACAAGTTCAAAAGTTTTATTAAAGAAAAATTGTACAAAAAGGGTTATTATAATAGCAAAGGTTCACATTTTGACTGCGGGTGCTATCGGGCGATCAGCTTGATCAGTTTAGCAAGTAAAGTTTACTCGAAGGTTTTGACACGTAGGATGAAGAGATCGGAAGATATGGGAGGCACAATGCGGATTTAGACCTGGAAGAGGATGCACGGATCAAATGTTTTCTCTCCGCATGATCACGGAAAAGCTTCTGAGTGTTAACCAGAGGATTTTCTGTGCTTTTGTGGATCTGGAGAAAGCGTTTGATAAGGTTATAAGGAAGAAAATGTGGGAACTGTTGCCGGGATATGGTGTGGATGGTCGATTGTTAAGGGCTGTGCAGTCACTTTACTATGACTGTAAAGCCTGTGTGCGGGTAGTGCATGACCTGTCACCCATGTTTAGCGTCCAAGCGGGCGTAAAACAGGGTTGTGTCATGTCTTCCTGGCTGTTCATACTGTATCTCGACAGCTGTTTACAGAAGCTGAAAAATAGCTGTTTGGGTGTGAAATTGGGTGACATAAAAGTAAATTGTCTGCTGTATGCTGATGATGCAGTGCTTATTGCACCATCAGAAGCAGAACTGCAGGCATTAGTCACGTGTATGAAAGAGAAATGTGAAATTGAAGGTCTCCGTTTGAATGCTAATAAAACTAAGGTTCTGGTATTTGAAAAGGACGAAGAGAGAACGAAATGTGAAATAGGGGAAAATCAGGAACGTCTAGAACAGGTAAATGAAATTGTATACTTGGGGAGTGCTTTCAGCCGGGATGGAAGATGTGATTTAGATGTGGATAGGCGCGTCGCTGCCGGAAACAAAGTCAATGGTGCCCTGAATGCATTAGTCAAAAGGCAAGGCGTGGTGAAGAGTGCACGCCTTGCAATACATAACGCAGTGTCGGTACCGACTTTGTTATATGGCAGCGAAACCTGGGTATGCCAGAAGAAGCATAAAAGCAAGTTGAATGCAGTGGAGATGCGATCTCTTCGTAAAATGTGTGGCGTTACCATAGCCGATCGAAAGCGAAACGAAGAGATTCGCAATATGGCAGGATTGAAAGATGACCTTATCACAAAAATTGGTAGGGACGTACTCCAATGGTTTGGGCACGTTGAGCGAATGAGTGAAGACCGAATGGTGAAGAAAATACATAGAGCGAAAGTAAATATTAAAAGGTGTCGAGGTAGACCGAGACTAACTTTCGAAGACCATGTGAGCAAATTGCTCGAAGAGGGGAAGGTCAAGAGTACTCGGATACCTAGACGTGCATGTATGAAGAAGTTAATGAACCTGAAAGAAGCGAAAGAGGTATGTAAGGATCGTGACACTTGGCGATCTGTTCTCTCTGGCTACCCCGTTAGGGATTGTGCGTGAAGATAAGTAAGTAAGTAAGTAAGTATAATAGCAAAGAATACATAAATGAAAATAACCCTTGGGAATGAGGTGATCACCACTATGCTGATTATATAAAAATTACATCCAGTAATTGTACAAAATAAATTATTGTAAAATAAAATACTTATGTGTAAAAAAAAGTTCCGCTGGGTTTCTTGCTGGTTCTTCACAGGACAAAAGTTTTTTTCCGAACCAGTGGTATAAAAATGACTTTTAATAAGTATTATGCAATAATCTGTATTGAATAAAAATCATTCATTTAATTTAATTTCATCTACTGCTGAAAATAGGCCTCCCCCATACATTGCGTTCTAAGGAGGATATTTGCCATACTTGCCACGTGTGGTAATCAGGAAGTCGCTGCTCATCTCCTATTTTGTTTCCCTCTGTCGCCTCTCACGACACCCACGGGATGATATGGGGTAGTGGATATTCTTGCACCGCCACTACTTAGATTATATCTAGGCTGTAACTTTACTCTAGTCTTAAACTTGGCTTTAAAAATCTTTATTTACTCATTAAGACTAATGTCACATGAAATTTAAAATAAATCACACAGAAGTAAACATAAATGAGGGTAGATCGAAATTAAATAGAAGTTGCAAGTTAACTGCGTAAGAGCGATGTTTCAAGTATTGATAAAATAAGACGGTGGTCCAAGTTATATAATGTCTTGTTTTTTAATGTGGTCTAATAATTTTTTCTTGAAAATATTGCGCGAACTTGACTTCAATTATTTTTTAATGAATATTGTTTTTTAACGTAGACAGAGAAACCTATAGACAAATTGACGCCTTCTTTCGCATTCGCACACGAAAGAGATAGATTTATGCATACGTCTTGCATAGAAATGAGATAGAGCGGTGTGATTGTTTGTCCCTTTCTCCGTGCCGGTTTTTTTGTTTAGCAAACTCAGTTTGCTAAACAACTTTAACAGCGTAGCGATTTAAGGAGTTTACAAGTTGGTTTAAGTGAGAAAAAAGTGTTTTGTGAGCTTCAGATTGGTGAATCTTGGTAAGTTCAGTTCTTAGTACAGTTAAAATTTTTATCTAAATGTGTTTAAAAGTCATAAAGATTATTGTATAACCTAAAAATTCGTTATCGTCCTTTATCACTCGAGGCCACGCCGATCATTAGTCTATAGGTTTATCTGTCTACGTTTTTTAATTAGTATATTTGTCTCTTTTACTCCTCTCTCTTCTTCTATGTTATGGTCATTGATCTATCTATAGGATGTTGTCTTTTAGTACATAAGTTATTTTTCTATAATTCAGTGCACCTTATCCATTAATCTTTTTATTATTTAAAAAAAATGGGTTGTCTGGAAGAAATAGCTACGTAATTAGACCGCTTTTGCTTTTCCCTCATTATTTGTTAATTTTTTGTTACATTTATCTATTCATGGTGAACAATAAAGAGTATATTTTATTATACTTTAATGTATTTCCTTTTGCTACCATAAACCTTTATCAACCTGCCTGCTCTAGATATATTTTTTAATTGTAACCCCATTTAGACCTTTAATATAGTAAGTTACTATAGTATAAAACAAACCCTAGATATCGGTAACTAAAATATTATAAATTTAAAATATTAATAGTATTAATTCCTTACCCCATGTATTGCTGTTGATACCCCGCAAACTGGCCCGCGTAGGAATAGCCCTGCACACCCTGGACTCCTTGCAGGAAGCCGCCAAGCTGCTGAGGATATGTGTTGTACCAGTACGAAGCTGGGGGCACACCACCGGTGGTATACGCGGCACCGAAGGGACTGTATGCTGTGCCGCCGAGCTGGTAGAAAAACACAAAAAGTTATGTAAGGGCTTAACCCTTATACATCCTGTTATCTCGTCTTCAGACCAGTAAAAAACGTCTCCGGTTCTCTTCATTCAGCATACGAAACACAGCAGCATTAAGCTGCTATTCATGTTAGTTTTCTGTGAAAGTATGGTCCTTTCCTGGTCGAGCTGACTCATTCTCAGTTTCTGACCGAAGCTTAGGCTTTGACTCGGCCAAAGCAATTTATGTGACTCGGACTTTTTTGAGCGGAAAAATACACCTTAGGGGAAAAGTTTGACTTTGGCTAAAGTGGGCAGACGCGGACGCTAGCAAGCGCCGAAATTGAACGAACTGAAATGAAGAGCGAGAGTGAGATGGGTTTTCACCATCTCTAGATCACCTTCTAGAGGTGATTAAAATTACCTTTTATATTACAGTCAGCATAAAGCATTAATTTAAAAGTTTTTAAAGTATTTATATAAGAAAAGAAGATATTTCTTTTTGTATAGAGAATGGGCCCACCACGAATTATAGCGATACTTAATGAAATCGATAACATAATCACTAACGCCTGTCAACTCAGAGGGTTGTGATTATGGTAGGCATCTTTGGTATCTTCTACAGACTTCCATTTGGCACGATCCTGACACACCTCTCTCGCCTCCTTCACATCCATATACCTACGCACATTGATTTATATATTTATACATGCTCGTTGGTTAAGGGTACTCTTAATTTGGCCCATTTGTAATATATACCCTATTTGGTCGACAAACTTTCGCTTAGGACGTCCCTTTCCGACTCTGCCGTTCACTTCTGCAACATAAAGGAGATGGCCAAAAATTGTATGAACTTGTGCCCCAGACTGTACAGAGATGAAATCTATGTCATTTGAAAGTAGGCACAGGTTTTTTATATAAACTTTTACATTTTTTAAAGTATTAGAAAACTGTATGTAGCCACTCAGTAGTAGACAAAAGTTATGAAGATTTAAAAAAGTTGATTTTGGCAGTCGGTTTTTTATCATAATTACACAATGTAGATATTAATAAAGTTCCAATTCATGAGTGTGAATTAGGTTAATGTATATGCATGATGATTAGGATGTATCCTGGGTCAGCTTTAGTAATCTGCTGCACGATTTATGTGACTATTTTAGAGTGAAGGCAATGATGCGATTGATTACCATTTAGCTGCTTTTTATGCCGGAAATCTTTATTTATCGAGATATCGATAGTTAAAGTTTTGAGGTTATATTCGGTTGGCTAGACATCTGGTATTTGATTTTGATAATGTTTTTAGTCTAGGAGGCTTGTTAGGGTTAATCTTAAACCTATTACACTGTTTTTAGATGTCGGAAATGCATTTTTTCAATTACAAAAAATAGTGTAATATGTCAATTTGTTTTCATATTATGAAGTAGATTTCAGATACTTGATTTTTTTTTAATTTTGTTTTCAATTTAGGAGGATTGTCAGGGTTAAGCCGAACCATTTACACTGTTTTTGGATTTCGGAAATGCCTTTTGATTTAATTACGATAAAAATAAATTTCACTTTAAATTACATATAACGAAACGCAAATATGTCAATTTGTTTTTTTTTAACACAGATACACTCATAAAAAAGTTAATCACTCGGACCCAGACAATCCATTTGTGGCTGGAGATGGGACTTATATACAACAAATTGAGTTGCAGTGGAGAGCAGTCAAGAGGTTTTTCAGAAAACAAAATTATAACAATTCACATTACATTATTTCATTTACCACTCTAGTAGCAGAGTTAAGAGCAACTAGACTTTATATATAAAATTGGTCGAATCGCTTCTAAAACCGAATTAGCACACCCTGACTCCATGTAGTCTTGTCTGCTCTACCCCTAGAGTGTCGGGGACTGCTCTTCCGTGTAACTACACACGGAAGACCCCGCCCGCTCGCCTCCGCAGCTTCGGCTTATTGGCTTCGGACCAGCCTCAGCCGCTGCGGCTCGCACAGGTGCCTGCAATTTGCTACGCAAGGGCGAACGGGCTGCACTTCCCGCAGTGCCGAAGCCGTTGCAGAAGTAACTGCGTCAATATTCCTTTATAAAAAAGTGAGGTTATGATTTTACAAAAAAAGGGGGTTTCCGGCACTTCCCTTTCGGGAGGTTCCTATCCCAGCCCCCACCCTACTCGGCGACCATATATTCATGCGGCAGACTATTAAAAAAAATCATAAAAAAAGGGTGGGGGGGGGGTTACGGCAATTCTTTTAGGGGGAGATTCCTACCCCTCCCCCCATCTACCCGCCCACTCGGCGACCATAAATTCGTGCGGCAGATTACTAAAGAAATACCTGTATCCTAACTGGTTTAGCTAAAAAAAACAAGGACAGCAGTTTGTTTCAGTTTTTGAAATTATTATTTGTAACTAGTTTTTGTAACATTACTATTATTGATCGAAGTATATTAGATAGAAAATAATTAAACTACGTATTACACCCTTTATAATTAGTGGAGCCCTCGCGTGGGCTACGGCACTTATTAAATAAAAGTAAAATAAGATAAAAAATAAATACGTAGGAAAAGCGTACATAATATACATATCAATATCATAATATACCAAGTGCGAGTGACACTTTGACTAAAGAGTATAATAAGTATATAGGGTTTTGATGCTTGACGGACGGATTCAGTGTTGCAAGTACTAAAGTAAAATAACCAAAGAGTATAGTAAATATATAAGGAAAAAAATAGCCCTATCCTATAATGTAACGTTACATGTTTAAGCAGTTGCTGTATTAAACTAATAAATAAAATCCTATCCTTTAATGTATTTTGATGTATTAATTCATTAATTGAAGGCTTGTTTTTATACATAACATCATAAATAAAGTATTTTTATGAGTTTAACTATTGTTTTTTCCTTACTCCGACCTTTTTAAGTATTATATGGCCACATTAAAGGTGCTATAGAGTGGCTTCTAGGAAAAGAAATCCCTTTAAATACTTTTAAACATGATTATTTTTCAACAGCTGCTATGAAATGTTAATAGTTATTCCAAATTGTTTTTTTTTATTTTATTTAAATTAATAGAAATAGTCTTATTTTTGTACAGCTTGGGGCACATTTTGACCATCTCATTTGTTTTATCACTCTTCCTCATTCATTCTTTCTACATGACCATTAATGAAATCCATGTCGATTTATTCCTTATAATCAATAGATTACAATAGTAATATTAGTTTCATAGCATCTAAACGAAGTTCTGAGAAGTTAACAATTAAAATATGAATTCGAACAATAACCTAAAAACAAACTAAAAGCGATTGTCTAGTAGTTTGTACCGGTATTATACGAGTATGTTAAAATATTATACTATTCAATAATTAATACTATAAAACAAAGTTGTAGGTACATTCAGCATTTACCTAGGCTGTACTAAAAGTATCGGGAATGGAATATTTCCACTGTTCCTGTCATATTAAAACCTTTTTAATTGAAAACTCCTTGGTTTTAAAAATCGAATACTATTTATTTATTTAAAAAAAGATTTTCGGTCTTGTTACAAGGTTTTGTCAAACTTGTTTAGTCGTTGAGAAACTGGAATTCATCATCATCATCATCATCATTTACAGCCCCTCACAAGTCCACTGCTGAACATAGGCCTCCCCCAAGTAATGCCACAAAGCACGGTCCTGAGCCACCTGCATCCATCGACTTCCTGCATGTCTTACCAGGTCGTCACTCCATCTAGTGGGGGGTTGCCCTTCACTACGCCTACGGGTACGGGGCTGCCACTCGAAAATTCACACTGGAATTGACTCGAGAAAATTCAAGAGCGATGATTTATTATGACTTTCGAAGTGGTTTAACACAAAAACAGTGTGTTGACCGGATGATTTCTGCATTTGGTGATGAAGCCCCATCCAAAACCACAATTTATCGCTGGTTTGCTGAATTTCAACGTGGACGATCCCCGTCAAGGTTGTCAAACGTTGATGCTGTGCGTAAGCTGATTGAGGAAAATCGACATGTGAAATACCGCGAAATTCAGGCAACTTTAGACGTTGGCATGAGTCAAATACAAATAATCTTGCATGAACAATTAGGTGTAAAAAAAGTTGTTTTCCCGATGAATACCGCATTCGCTCTGTGAAGAGCAAAAAAGCGGCTCGCGTTACTTGGTGCGTGAGAACTCTCGAAAGATTTCACGCAGGATCCCCAAATGCTGTATACAACATCGTATCAGGTGACGAATCCTGGATATACGCGCACAAACCCGAAACAAAGGACCAGTCACGAGTTTGGGTGTTCGAAAATAAGTTAAAGCCAACAAAAATTGTTCGTTCACGGAGTGTTGCAAAAATGGTGGCCACGTTTGTGTCCAAAACCGGCCATGTTACGACTATTCCTCTTGAGGGACAAAGAACGGTTAATGCGGAATGGTATGCTAGCATTTGTTTGCCACAGGTCGTTTCTGAATTCCGTAAAGAGATTTGCAACCGCCGCATCATCCTCCATCACGACAATGCGAGTTCTCACACCGCACACAGAACAAAAGAGTTTTTAGAGCAAGAAAACATAGAATTATTAGACTACCCGCCGTACAGCCCCGACCTAAGCCCTAATAATTTCTGTACTTTCCCCAAAATAAAGAATAAATTACGTGGACAGAGATTTTCATCACCTGAAGAAGCTGTGGACGCCTACAAAACGGCCATTTTGGAGACCCCAACTTCCGAATGGAATGGTTGTTTCAATAATTGGTTCCATCGTATGGAAAAATGTGTCAAATTTCGCGGAGAATACTTCGAAAAGCAATGAATACATTTTTAAATAGTAATGTTGTGTCACTTCCTTGATTCCCGAAATTTTCAGTGCCGCCCTCGTATAGGTACTTTAAGATCGATTCAAAATCCTTTCAGTAGTTTCGGCTAAATGTAGTACCTGTTTGTGCGCAAATGTGGTATGGATACTAATTTTTACAAGTAATTTTAACCAATCATCAATTGAATTTCTTAGGGTTTGTAAGTCTTCAGCTTTAGCCGGAGGTCGTGGCGATAGCCGATTGTTCAGCTTGGTTTTTGGCTTCGGCCAGAAATCGACTTTCGGTCGGACAACTGCTACAACCATAATATAGCTGCAGCATAAAATTAGATATGAAGGAAGGAGTATTTGAATTAAAGATGTATTGATTATTATCTATAGTTCTTCTTCTTTTAAATTATGGCTTCTCTTGATAGAATTATCTATAGTTATTTGAACCATAACCGTTATCTATAGTTAATCTTTTATTTTCATTAAAAAAAGTTACAGCCTATACGAGTATACGTCCCACTGCTGGGCACAGGCCTCCCCTCATTTCTGAGAGGGTTTTAGGGCAAGGAAGTGTCCGCCGCGCTGCTCCAATGCGTGTTGGCGAACTTCACATGTCTTCGTAATATTTTTTTTCTTATTTCTCAGACATGCAGGTTTCCTCACGATGTTTTCATTCACCGCCGAGCACGAGGTAAATCAGCACTTAAAATTGCAATTGTACAATTTCATTGGTGCCGGCGGGCATCGAACCCGGGTTAGTCGCGTTCTGTTATATTTACAGCGAGCGTCAACCATCTGAGCTACCACGGCTCTTTTTTTTCATATTTTTACATTGATCGGAATTCATCTACTTGTGTTATAATCCAGCTCCTTTTTCGCTTCGAATAGTAGTAGTAGTAGACCATCATCCACGAAACAACATGCGACACTACTGGTCGTCTCTACTTGGCTGAAGATCCTTTTAGTCCAGTGTTTAGGTTAGGTTAGGCTTCTAAAAAACGTGACGTGGCGATTGCACATTGGTGTCCACCCAGTGCTTATTCTCAGTATTTGCTTCACAAACTGGATTTCTTATGTTCATTAAAACCAAAACTGTGTTTTATGTAGATGGTTTTTTACGTAGCACGCTGCAGCTATATTATAGTTGTAGCACGAATGGGTCGTCTGGACTGGAACAGAACCACGCTCTCACAGAATACCAGCGTAAAATACTAGCATAATGCTGCTGTGTTTCGTACGAAGACCCATTCTACTGAAATCGAGGCATTCCGTCTTAGTACTCACGGGTGACAACGCATCTGCATTTTGATTCTTAATTGAGGGTAAATGTGAATTTCTATGGGTCGCAGCATCCACTTACCATCTGGTGGACTGTGTACTCGTTTGCCACCCAATGCTATAAAAAATGTAGATGGTTTTGGTGATCGGAGTAATGTGTAACATGCGTATAATACGAGGAACGATACGGTGCATGACTACGTCCCGTCTCATCATCACAGCCATTCACAAGTCTACTGCTGAACATCGGCTTTCCCCAAGAAATGCCACAAAGCAATAACCACCTTCATCCATCGACTTCCTGCATGGATCATCTGTGAGGGCCGCCCCACTCTTCGCTTATCGGTCAAGGCTGTCATTCGAGAACCTTTACCCTCCGTCGGTTGTAGGTTCTTTGGGCTATATGGCCGCTTTATTGCCACTTAAGCTTACTCCGTCCGTCTATCCGTTGGACTATGTCATTTATACTCTGGTTCTACCGCGGATATCCTCTTTTTAAGTTTATCACGGAGAGAAAATCCAAGCATAGACCTCTCCATAGCACACTGAGTGACCTTGAACTTCTTCATATGGCTAGCAGTGAAGGACCACGTCTCAGATCCATGAGTATCACTGGCAATATGCACGGGTGGTACAATCTTGTTTTCAAGTTTCGAGGTATAACCTGAGGAGACGTGTCGTAATCTCTCGAACGCGCTCCCAAGCCTAGTTGAATCTTTCGATTGATCTCTCGGTCGAATTTGGACTTACCTAGTCGTACTATTTGTCGTAGGCTAACATATTCGTCGATAGCTTCGAGCGTAATGCTCCCAACAACTACTAGCATAGGTTTGACATGGAGGTTACACGTAACTTTTGTTTTGTCCATGTTTTATTTTAAGACCTATCCGTTCGGAGACTCTATTGAAGTTAAATGACCTCAATAGTGTCCGCGAACGTTGTGCTTAGTATTCAGGTCTGTAATATCATATCATCTGGACATATATAAGACTGTAGTATCATCGTCGTCGTCACAATTAGGCGTTTATAATGAAGTAACAACATGGCCATCATAGACTTATTATTTCTTATTTTAATATTCCCTTTGACGAGTTTGTATTACGTCTTAGTTAAGTACCTTCCAAAATTAATTTCAGTTAATTTGTTGTACCTTGTTATTTGTTGATGTAATTTAATTAAAACAGCTTTGCATAAACTGATGGAACATTATGTATTCCTTTAATAAACACTTCTCGGATCTGTCTCTATTAGTTAAATTTGCATTTGAAAGAAATTCCGCTGTGACATTATGAAATTTACATGCCTTAAGTGCCACTTAGTAATGTTTGTTGGAATGATTTTAATAATTTATGTTCGAGACAGTTTTGTTTTTCTTCAGATGTTGATTACGATTGCTATTATAATTTTAAATGATCTTGAACTTTTCTAGATTATATGTAATATATATGAGTGTTTTTAATTATTTATTTACGAAAAACTTCTCTGAAATAACGGTATAAAACGTATAAATATTTTTACACGTGGTAGAGACACGTTCAGTTACGTTATGGTTGTAGCACGAATGGGTCGACCGACCGGGGAAGGACCGCGCTCTTAAAAAATATCAGTATAAAATAGCAGCTTTATGCTGATGTGTATCGTATGTTGAGTGTAGAGAACCATTAGACAATAGAACTCTTTTTATTAGAAACGAGGCATTCGATCTTAGAGTTCAGGAATGACTACGCATCAGTATTTTATATTTAATCGATAATCAATGTGGATGTCTATGGACCACAGCATTCACTTACCATCATATCCTATAAATAACCTATCGAATGTCCACTGTTTAACGTAAGCATCCCCTATAGACTGCCATACTAGCTACGCTTGGGGGTTAGGAAATCGTAATTTCTTATTGTTTTCACTTGTTATCCGGAAGATGCAGCGGCCCGCCTCCCGATTCAGTTTACCTCTGTGACCACTAACGACACCTATAATATGGGCTTGTGTATATCCTTACGACGTCATTGCACAACTAGCACTAGTTGTCAAACAGTGGGCTTCAAACACTTCTGGTAAGGTGTGATGTGAAATGAACAACAGCTTAATAGCAGCTTACTGCTGCATCTGTGTTCGTATGGTGAGTGTAGAGAACCGGAAACCCTTTTTACTGGAAACGAGGCTTTCCATCTCAGTTCCCACGCGTAACAACGCATCTGCATATTGAGTCTTAAATGGTGATGAGTGCGGATGACTATGAATCACAGTATCCATTTACCGTCAGGTGGACTGTGTGCTAGTATGTCACTCTTATATAAAGATGAAGCTCATTTAGCTCACCTGTCCTTGAGCTTGTGCGTTGTTTGGATCGCCGGACTCCTTCCCCCAGGAGCACTTCACTGGCTGACCGTTGACGTCGGTGTTGTGGACTGCCACGATAGCATGGGTAGCACTTTCTTTCGTTGAAAATCTGAAACGTTGTTTAATTTGTATAATAATAATTATATTTGGATGAATGGAACCATTTTAATTCAAATATCAGCAATCAGCGATTCATCGCAGGTACTTTAAGTCTCTGCATATCCATTTGGGTGACAGGCGTCAGTGCTTATTGTATGTTTGTATTTTTAAAACGTTTTTACATTGCGTACGATGTTGTTGTCGTCGTAATGTTGCATGACTCTCTAGTGCCTCGGAATTGGGACCCAAATACATAATGGCAATTCACATACATAAATTTCGCAAGGCAAAAACAAACATAATGATTTCTTATATTTACGCGAACACTACACATTGAAATAATACTAGTTTTTACGGAATTTATCGCGTATATTTAACTTTTTAAATACCCGACGTTTCGAATGAATGAATGTGGTCTCTCCTACATAGGACAAACTAAAAGATCAATAAAAACCCGCGTTAAAGAACATATAGATGATGTGAAGAATCGACGCTCCGGGAAGTCTGCAGTCTGTGAACACGTACAGGATCGCCCCCCGTCACTACATCAGATTTGATAGACCGCAAATCCTCACTAAAGAACACCGATTCCTTCCAAGGATGATTCGCGAGGCTATTGAAATCAAAAAACATCCTAATTTCAATAGAGAAGATGGCTGGGTGCTATCATCTGCTTGGGATCCTATAATAAATAAAATTAAATCCCAACCCAAGCATACAACTGCAAGACTTCAAGATACCATAAGTTTATACTGCATAGATCGGAACAAAGGTTAACTTTTAATCTATGGTAACCGCGGTTAACTATGACATATGGACGTTGAAAATCTCAGTCCCGCCCGTGACCATGAGTGCTGTAAAGCATTCGAAACGTCGGGTATTTAAAAATATTATATTATAGCGATAAATTCCGTAAAAACTAGTATTATTTCAAAAACAAACATCCAGATACGGAACAATTATTTGTAGGCCATACAAATACTTGTTCCGAGCGGGATTCAAACCCGCTCGGAACAAGTATTTACCCTTAGCGCTGCAACGGCGCTAAGCCACTGCCCCACAGAGCCGTTTAAAAATTTTAAAACCATAGACTTGCCATTAAACTAATATGTACTAAGTCTAGTGGTTGTAGTGGCGCGACTACTGATCATGAGGTCCTGGGTTCGAATCCCGGGTCGGAAAAAAAATTAATTATTGAGTTTTTCCGTCAAGAAATTCTCAGTAGCTGCCTGGAGTCAGGAAGTTGGCGGTGTCTCACCCCCGTGCCTCGGAAAGCACGTAAAGCCGTTGGTCTTGTGCCTGAACTCTCTTCGGTCGTGTCGGTTTACCGTCCCATCGGATTATGAGAGTGAGGGAATAGAGAGTGCACCTGTGCTTGCGCATACACTTGGGTACTATAATCCTGCCCTGCGCCTATGGCTAGTCTCCGGTGAGGCCGACCGCCGTGACCGTAATTCGGTCTGGTGGACATTATTATTATGTACTACGTACTAGAACAGACACCGCGAACAAAATCGCTGCGGCAGTACGGGGCGCATGGTCAGAGGCACTGAGCACCATGTTTTTTTATTAGTGCAAGCAGCTATGCAGGTCGAAAGCTGATCGCTGCTACGGCTATAGTACATTGCTAAGCCCTGTATCTTCAATGAAGAGAAATAGTTGCTTAGCTGTGAGGAATTTCTATTGTTCTGGACTAAGTACGTAGTTTCCCAGATGAGTGCTAAGTTTTCGTATTAAGGGTTTTTCTATCTTTAAGGAACAGAACCGGCACATTCTTGAGTTGCTTAGTACCGAGATGGACATGTGCTTTTTTACACAACAGTGCCTTGTCAGGGCTCTTGCCAGAACACGCAGTTTATTCTTACTTGATTCCAGGGTTTCTGAAGCGGATTTACGATCATAAGCTCGAATTATGACAAAGACTATATAAGTTTGTAAGTTGCCGGGTCAAGTCGTTTTCAAAACCTGAAAACCAGATTGTACAATCAGTGCGTGTTGCCAGTGATGACTTACGGATCTGAGACGTGGTCCTTCACTGCTGGCCGTATGAGGACGCTCAAGGTCGCTCAGCGAGCTATGGAGAGGGCTATGCTCGGGGTTTCTCTGCGTGATAAACTTAGAAATGAGGATATCCTCAGTACAACCAGAGTTATCGACATAGCCCAACGCATAAGTAAGCTTAAGTGGCAATGGGCCGGCCATATAGCTCTAACAACCGACAACCGATAGGGTAAAAAGGTTTTCGAGTGGCAGCCTCGTACCGGTAGGCGTAGTGTAGGGCGACCCCCCACTAGATGGAGTGTAGACCTGGTAAGACATGCAGGAAGTCGATGGATGCAGGTGGCGCAGGACCGTGCTTTGTGGCAATTCTTGTGGGAGGCGTATGTTCACCAGTGGACTTGTGAATAGTTGTAATGATGAATGATGAAGTAAGTTTGAGCCCATGGGTTCCAACGCGTGTTACAAATGACCAAGTGTCCGCATCTGTTCTAGTACGTAGTATATATTACTTCAATGATACTTGATTAAACGCGCGTGTGACGCATGCAAGCACACTGATATTGAGATAAATTTTGTACTATTAAATAAATATGTTACTTTTATTTCAGTAACCATAATTTTAAACGTTTATTAGAAGGTTGGTACTAGTGGTTACACAACTTTAGGTTTAAATCTAGACAGTACTAGCGATAAGCCCCGATTTCGCTCGGGTGATTTCTGAATCTCGATAGCAGCGCCAACTACCGGGTTCGATTGTAAACATAAGCCATCCAGGATCCCACTCAAACTCACATATAAAATTACATGAAAATCGTTTGAATTTAGAGGTTTTGCTAAACTTGTAAGTATATAAATATCATAGATAGAAAAAAACCAGAAATAGATTAGACCAAATCATATATTTCTAATATATAAAAATCAGTGATTGCTTGTTCATATTCTATGCGACGCCATACCGTTCATTAGGTTGCAGGAAAACTTTGCCAACAATTGCAGCTTAATACTGCTGTGTTTCGTATGGTGAGTGTAGAGATCCGTAGACTGTTTTTTAACTGGAAACTAGGGATTCCATATGAGTACTAAGAAGTGACAACGCGTTTGCATTTTGATTCATAATCGAGCATAAATGTAGATGTCTATAGGCCACAGCATCCATTTTACCATCAGCTGGACTGTGTGCTCATTTCTCACCCTTATTTTATAAATCAAACTTATGCTTGCACTTGCGCGAACAACTTGCTCGCGTTTGACAAATTCATTTGAAAGTCATATATCTTTCAACTTAAGTGTATTATTATTCCTAATAAAACGATATAATGATACCAAATTCAAAACGATATTTTCATAATTATATCTTCTCCGACAGCAACGCGGCTACCACCACTACTTCATGATAAATTACTAAATGGCATCAGAAAACAAATAAATACGCATATAGCGTTTATAAAATTTCAGTACCTGATGAACGCATATCCCTTGTCCTTGAAGACCCGAATCTCCTGAATGGTGCCAAAAGGCTGGAAGGTCTTCTGCATGAGCTCCTCAGTGAGGCCGGTGGTCAGGCCGCCGCAGTACACCGTGCAGTTGGTGGGTGAGCTCTGGTTGTACACCTCGTCGAACGTCAGGGGCTTGGAGTTCACTGGAGAGAGATAAAAGGCATTTTTTAATTTGGACATGGTGGCTTAAGTAAAGTTTTACCACCTTAAATTAATTCATTCAACCATCCAAAAAAAGACTTTAAAATTTCATTTCCGAACATAGCCTCTCTATACATACATACCTATGTATATATTATATTGGATGAGCTTTTTTACCGTCCGGAAAAGAATAGGGTAACTTAATGATTTCTTATATTACGCGAACATTGCACATGATTAAAATCTTTCGGATTTGTTTATTTTTAGGGTTTGTAAACGGAATAGAAGCTTATGGCACTGATATTTTACAAAAAATAAAAACGTCACATCATTTTCTCAGACATGCAGTTTTCGTCTAAATTAATATAGATAATTTCCTTTAAAGTCTAGCGCATCATAAATTAGCACTTAAAAAGAAGAAATTAGCAAATTTATCGGTGTCGGTGAGGATCGAACCCGGGTAATTGCGTACTGTAAAATTTATGACATGTATGGCCTTTAGTTTTTAAACAATCATTATTAATCGCCAACTCAACTAATTCTTTTTTATTTACTGGTTCGGAAAATACCTCCAAGAAACGCAGCGGGATTACGTTTTATAGAAATAACATGTAACTTTGCAATAATTTTGTATAATTTTTAAAATATTTGAATTTCGTTAATTAAAATGAAATAATATACCTAGCGTGGTAGCGATCAACTCATTTCCAGGGGTTATTTTCGTCGTGGTCGTTTAATCGTGTTTGTACAGTTTTTCTTTATTAAAATTTTTTAATTTGTAGATTATTGTGAAAGGGCATACATTATACCCCATATATGAATTACAATTTTTTTAAGTCTAGTAACTGCCTTTACAAGATTGTGTTTGTTCCTAGTATTTAAAGTATGAACATCTTTGTTTCTATCAAAGATATTCATGTTTTTATATAAAAATTATATTATATTACATTTTTATATTGCGATGGTAAAATTAGTAAGTATATTATTTTTTTAAGTGTTCCAGAGAGATTCTTTACAATTTAGTTTATAAGTTACCCGTACGGTGATCTTTAGTGAAACATAATACCTATATGCTTTCTAGTATCAGTCGCGTACCCATTTCAAAATTCGTTGAAACGTTATGAAAGTAACTAAAATAAATCAATCTAGCTGTCAGCTGCAACATTGGTGAGACTTATAATTTTTCTTACAGCATATGAATTTTTTGTTTTGTTTTCTTACAATTTAATCTGCTTGCTAATTTGGATACATGGGGGACCCATTGAAGCTTCGCGTCGATAGTAATACCAAGAAAAACAGTGAAATCTACAAGACTCAACTCCTCCCCATTTTGCATTATATTGTTATTTGAATGTTTAACATCAGCATCGCATATTGTAAATTTAAAACATTTTGTCTCATTGCCGTTTAAGATCAAATTGTTGGTGTTAAACCAATGTACTGATTTCGATAGAGCCTAATTTATTTTTAGATTTTGTTTTTTTTTATCAGAATTTTTATTTGCGTAAGAACATGGTATATAAAGGTGGTACATGTTAAAAAGGTGCACATGTCTCGCTATTACAAATAGCATGCAAAATTAATATTATTATCTTGTATAATCATAAAAATAATATCACAAAGTCTCATTACAATAAATTACATTGAATTAAAGATAAATTAAAATATATAATATAACATGAATAGTATTAGGGATTGATGTCAATAAAGTCTTTAATGTCATATATTTTTCTGTCAATGAGCCACTTAAATAATTTTGATTTAAATTGATTAATATTTAAATTTTTGATGTCATTAGGAATTATATTATATATCGTTAAACACATTTTTAGGCAACTTTTATGGTATTTAGCTGACCTTGGGATAACGTCTAACACAAGTCTATTAGGATTTCGCTTCAATCTTGTGTTCATGTCACTTGCTTTCATAAACAAATTGATATTTCTCTTCACGAAACAGCTTATTTCAAAAATATATAGTGCCGGCAGCGGAAGTATGTTGAGATTTGCAAAAACTGTTCTACAGGATATGCCAGGCGGTAGTTAGGTGTTATTTTGAACCTTTTGCTTTGTTGCCGTCTAAAAGCAAATTGTTGAAGTTAAACCGATGCATTATTTTCTATAGAGCGTTATTTACATCGTCATAATTAATTGACTGCCGTTTGAGTTTGAGAGTTAAAGAGGCATCATCAGTAAATAACACTTTAACGTGATTGTCTCCTACAAGATAAGATAAGTCATCAATATAGATTAAGAAGAGGAAAGGGCCAGGAGTCGCGCCCAGAGAACACCCATTGATATATGGAGAAACTGTTACCATTGAACACGAATTTATAAGTTTTGTAACTAAAAATGAAATAATAAGTCTAATAGTGCAGGAGGAATCGGCGCATGAGTACCGAAAACCATTCCATCTCATTTTTTTATGCGATTGTCTTCTTCTCTCTTTCTCTGTTCTACTCTTGCGCTGATTCCTCGAGTAATGTTGTAGTTCCCTGATCAATGTTTCATGATAAACACAGTCAAAAATCTTGGAAAGATCACAAAAAATAATGAAAGCATCTTGTGACTTCTTCCAAGCTCTAAAAATATATTTAATAAGCTCAACACCGGCGTCAGTCGTCGTTAGACCCCTTGTGAAATCTGTTTTGATGGAATAACTTATTTGTATTAAAAAAAAAAATACATTTAATTTAAATTATTTTTCCAAAAATTGTTATTTAAAATAAAATCGTTATGTACAATTATACCTACATTTACAATTACGTAAATTTTCTGTGAATACAAAAATGTAAAATGTAAATTGTAAATACAAATTTAAAACTGTAACTTTAATTAGGGAAGCTAAGTAGACCTGTTCGCTAAATTTGTTGACAGCAAAATTATTACCACTTGGTAGTACATTGCGTATTCTTTATAGCTTTTCTATTCTTTATAGAGTTACTACGGCTCATTAAGCATACGACGCAGTGTACTAAAATGTCAATCATTTTGATATCAACGAAGTTGGTGAATCGGTCTGCAGGTTGTCACTAGATCTAACATGGAGGCCTGCATGAGATCTAGTATAAATTATATTTGTGAAAAAAAAACATACATAAACACTCACACCCAGAGGGGTAGGCAGAGACTACAGACTTCCATTTGGCACGATCCTGACACACCTCTCTCGCCTCCTTCACATCCATACACCTACGCATACATGCTCGTCGGTTTAGGGTACTCCTAATTTGGCCCGTTTTCAATAAATCGCCAATTTGGTCGATAAATTTTCGCCTAGGACGTCCCTTTCCGACTCTGTCATTCACTTCTGCAACGTAAATTTTCTTTGTCACTCTTTCCTCATTCATTCTTTCTACATGACCAAACCACCGAAGCATTCCTTTCTTAATCCTGGTCACAACATCATCTTGCAAACCACACTCTTCTCTTATAACACAATTTCTTACCCTGTCATTCAGATTCAGCCCTAACATACTCCTTAACGACCGCATTTCTACTGCGTTCATTCTACTCTCGTGCTCCTTCTGCCACATCCAACTTTCACTACCATACGTTAAAGTAGGGACCAACACAGCATTGTGAATTGCCATACGTGCCTTTTTCGACACATTTTGACTCTTCACAATAGAGTGCAGGGCCCCATTTACTCTATTTCCCGTGTTTATGTATGTATTGTGTAAAATAACAACGATGGCTTTTTGTCTGGTTGTCTATCTTTTACGTTTCTTTGACACTAAACACCACCTCCGGTAATTTTTTTTTTGAATAAGGGTGACAAACGAGCACAGAGTTCACCTTATGGCAAGTGGATCTGTGGCCCATAAACAACTGGATTTATCCTCTATTAAGAATCGAAATGTAGATGCGTTGTCACCCCTGAGGACTAAGACGGAATGCCTCGCTTCCTGTAAAAAGGGTCCCCGGTTCTCTACACTCAACATACGACACACATCAGCAATCTACGCTGGTATTCTGTGAGATCGTGGACCTACTCCGTTGTAGTTGCAAAGATCCTCTACCACGTATCGATTATACTGTATGATGTTACATCACGGGTTATAGAGTGAGCTAGTGCCTCGGTGTTTGCGCATACGCACAAGGCACTATGACAGCTGCATCAATTTCCCAACTAAAATCAATTTCGTTAACCACCAAATTCACAACGAAAACCGAAATCTCTAAAGCTCCCTAAAATCTAATTTTTCTTTACGGCCCACTTACAGCTAAACCAGCCTTTTAAAAAGCAATATTTCCCGTGCAAATTGAATTCCTCAGGGAGTCCCGGGAGATTGGACCACCGAAAATGTTATTTGAGAATGTTGAAGGATTTTTTGAGAGCGTAAATTGTATACCATGCGAAGATAATATAGAAGCCCAGTGCGAATACTCTGGGTCTGGTGATGGATCTAATAGTAGAAAGCAATATTTTTAACATCTAAAGTTAAGAATAAGACATCAGTTTTTTTTTAATTAAAAGAAAACTTATATTGAATTGAGAAACAAATATATTGTTTTTTTAATTGGGTTATTATTTCTTAATTGAAGATAGATGTACTATATAATCTTCTATCTTTGAAAAGTTACAGCCTGTATACGTCCCAATGCTGGGCTTACTCTCATTTCTGAGAGGGTTTTAGGGCAAGAAAGTATCCGCCGCGCTGCCCCAATTATTAACTAATTTACCTTTGGTTTTTCTTATTGCTCATGACATGCAGGTTTCTTCACGATGTTTTCCCTCAACGTCGAGCACGTGGTAAATCAACACTTAAAATTGTAATTAACTATTTCATGTGTGCTGGCAAGGATCGAACCCTCGAAAGCTCTGACTGTGTGCTCGTTTGTCACCCTATGGTAACAAACGAGCACACAGTCCACCTGATGGTAAGTGGTTGCTGTGGCCCGTAGACATCTACATCCATCCTCGATTACGAATCAAAGATTGTCACCCCGTGAGTACTAAGATGGAATACCTCGTTTACAGTAGAACGGGTTTCCGATTCTCTACACTCACCATACGAAACGCAGTAGCATTAAGCT